CGTCGCCCAGCGCCCCGTCGTCGCAGCCGCAGTCGCAGGACGCGCCCGGCGGCGGCAAGAAGCGCCCGCTCGGCCAGGAGGACCGCAAGGTCCGCGACCGCAAACGCGTGCTGCGCAACCGCGAGCTCGCACGCGTGTCCAACGAGCGCAGGAAGGGCCGCATCAAGGCCATGGAGACCGAGCTCAGCGACACCAGGAAGACCGTCGCCACGCTGGAGGAGAGCATCAAGTGTCTAGAGGCCGAGAATAAGGAGCTCAAGAATTTGCTCCAGGGGAAAAACCCCCAGGCTGCCGCACAGCAGCCCGACCACCTGCCCGCGGATCCGCAGCCCAACCATCAGACATAGCTGCCGCGTTGAAGAAAAAACTCCCCGCCTGCCTCCTGCCGTTGATGCTGTAAAACTATCCTTCGAAACGGCCCACTCACCACCGTTTTGCAAAACTTTTGACTAGGCCTCTTGCCTCATCATCATATCCGTCACCACCTTCCATCCTCGCGCTTCGTGCTCATGCTTCGTGCTCATGCTTCGTGCTCATGCTTCGTCTTGCCTTTCGCTTTTGGCGTTTGGCGTTTGGCTTTTGGCTTTTGGCTTTTGGCTTTTGGCTTTTGGCTTTTGGCTTTTGGCTTTTGGCTTTTGGCTTTTGGCTTCTAGCTTTTAGCTTTTAGCTTTTAGCTTTTAGCTTTCGCCTTCACCTTCACTCTTGCCTTTGCCTTCGCTCTCGCTCTCGCCGTTTGTGACTGATGCTCTTCTCGTGGTTGCAATGGGAACACCTGTGGGTGAAGAAAAAGGTTGCCCGGCTTTCTTGCGGCTTTCTTGTTTTTTTCCAAATTTTCACACCGGTTCAGCCCCCTCCCAACGCTGCAATCAACATTTTTCAATCCTTTTTAACAAAACTTGCAGTAAATCATCTTGGCCATGCTCCACGGTTAGGTTCAACCGATTCAACTCTGAAATACCAAAAAAATTAAGAAAAGCGTACGAGTGCGTACCTCAAAAACTAACTCTTATCCGTAGCAACATATCCGCAGCATACGATACACGAGTGCAATCACCCACCTCTACCGGAATCCGCCCCTTCCTCTTCCCCCTCCAAACCCACCCCGTCCCCTGCCTCTGAACCCGCCACGCCCACCTCCACCCCCACCGCCGCGCCATCCTCCTCCACCACCTCCTCCACCCCCACCGCCGCGCCACCCTCCGCCCCCGCCACCACGCTTGCCCCGGTAGAATCTCTTCTCGGCCAAGCTCCCCATCGCTGCCTTGAGATCAAACGGGCTTTCTTCCAGCTCGGGCAACGTCTCCATCGCCAGCTCTACCGTAAACCCGTCAGGCAAGTCCTGCGCAGCTTTTACCAACCGTTTTACCTGCCGTTCTGGCACGTCAAACACTGCCTTGCTTCGATCCTTACACAGTTGCATTCCCTTCATTTCTGCTGCAATATCACCCCCGATCACCCGTCTCAGCATGCTCCACGCATGCCCAGACGACTCAAAGCCCTGACTTCCGCAGAAAATAGCCGCCGTGCAGTCCTGAAAGCACGACAGTAATGATCTTGATTTGAATCGGTCCGCCGTATACCCAGCCATGCACGCCAGCGACGCGGCAAGCGCAGTCTCCGCTGCATCCTTCTCTCCGTTGTAGCTCTCCACCACCTTGTGCGCAACCTCACGGAACAGCGCCAAGTTGTCCTCATGCACAGACGACAACGTCTTCACCGTATCCATTACACTCGCCTTGATGATGTCCGTCGCCTGCGGAGGGTTGGCACGCTTGAACTTCATCCCGGCCTTGTGCTCAATGAGCCCAATCAGATATTTCTCCCTCTGCCCGTAAAATGTCACGCAAGTACCTGTCATTCCAGCTCGCCCAGTTCTTCCAGAACGGTGAATGTATGTCTCATAATTGGACGGGGGATGCGTCTGTAACACAAGGTCAACCGCCTTGATATCTAGCCCTCTAGCCGCCACATCCGTCGCCACCAGAACTCGGATCTTGCCCTCACGATACGCCGCAAGCGTCGCCTCTCTCTGCCCCTGCGGAATATCTCCGTGAAGCAATCCAACACCTCCGAGCGAGTTGATCAACTTTTCATGCCCAGAAACCTCGTTCGCCTCGACCTTGGTGTCTGTAAAAATAATCGTCTTTCCTAGCGCCCCCGTGTACACCTTCACCACATCCGCAATCGTGTCTGGCCTTTCTGTGTACGGACAAGAAATCGCCAGATGTGTAATATCAGTATTCGTCCTGTTGGTATCACTGGAGACCATATCAACAGTAACCGTCGCATCCCCCCTCATGTACTTTTTAGCCAAATCTTTGACCCATCTCGGTACGGTAGCCGAAAACAGCAACGTTTGCTTCATCTCCGAAGTCGTGCATTCCCCCAAAATCCTTTCCACGGCGTCCTGAAAGCCCATGGAAAGCATCTCATCGGCCTCGTCCAGGACAACAAAGCGGACACCTGCCAGAGATAGGTTTCCCTCATCCAAATGGTCGATGATCCTACCTGGGGTGCCGACAAGCACATCCAGGCCATACCTAAGGGCGCCCTTCTGCGGCCCCTTTGCGCTTCCGCCAGTGAAGCAAGCGGTCGTGAGTCTGTGCCCCCCCGCGATCCACTCAAAGTCGCGGTGAACCTGCTGGGCGAGCTCTCGAGTTGGGGCCAAGCACAGCACGAGCGGCTTCTGCTGGCAGGGGACGCGGGCCATGGACTCGGCTGCGATAGTCTCGATGATCGGGAGCACAAAGGCTAGCGTCTTGCCAGAACCGGTGCGGGCGCGGCCGATGACGTCCTTCTTCTCCGTGCGTAGCATCTTGAAGGTGGCGGCTTGGATGTCGAAGAGAGATTCGATGCCCTTGTCCTTGAGCAGCTTCACAGTGATGTCGGACATGCCAAACGAGGCCACGGCATTGGTATCAGCCTTGGCGGCGATTGTGGTGCCGAGACCGATGTCGGTGTCTTCGACATCGTCATCCATGCAGATGTCTCCAGAGCGTTTCTCCGATACGGGTGTGGAGGTTTCGAGCTTGGCCCTTTTCTGTGGCGGGGACGGAGAATTGTCGCGGGACTCTGAAATTTGGTCTGCGGAGCGCTTGCTCTTCTTCTTTTCCTTCTTTTCTTTCTTGTCCTTCTTCTTTTCCTTCTTTTCTTTCTTTTCCTTCTTCTCCTTCTTCAGCTTCTTCTTGTCTGATTTGGGCCCGTCCGCGGAGGCGGAGGCGGCAAGCAGATTGCCCATGTGGTCGTCAGCGGGGATGACTAACCCTGCTTCTCCTCTTCCCATGGTGGGTTGGGTGTGTGGGCGGGTGGGGAAGGAGCGTGTGTAAAGGGGATGGTAAAAGGGCGGGCGACGGATGAAGGCGGTGAAGACTGACGGTGCGGACGACGTCGGCAGTGGACTCCTTAGAGTCGAAATTGGTCATATCGAATGTGTCAGGGATTTGGTCGGTAGTGCGGTGTGAGTGGCGTTTCAGCGGGCCCAGGGACGGCCGCCGTCGCCTTCACCACGGCCAGTGGCGAACGCCCACTTGGCGCAGCGCTGTTGGATGTATGACACGTGTGCCGCAGAGTACTTGAAAACAAGTGCAAGCCCGTGGTTGGTCGCAGCAGAATGCCTGCAGCCGCACGGACAACCATCAAGGAGCTGTTTTCTCTACGCGGCATTCCCCTGCCGAAAGCTATGTTCATTCTATGAGAAAAGAACGAGCCGTTTGGTTCAGATGGAATTCTCTGTTCTCTTCACTCTCCTGTCACTTCTCTCTCTCCGCCCTTCAGGATCGCCTCTGCTCTACTCGCTTACTTCCGCCGTCGCCTGTCCTCCGCCAACAGGTGATAGGTGTACATACTGTACACCTGTTCTACGCGTACCGTTGTACGGTTCGCGTCGCGTGATGGCAGAACGCCGCGCCGGTGACGAGTGTTCGTCGAAACATTTCCTACATCGATGTCGCGATAGTAGCCTTTGGCTTTTCTATCGCGTGATGACACGCCTCCTGTTGCGACAACATGGTAGTGATTCGGTGCGTCAGGTTTTTGTTTTTGTGTTGTTGCTGATGTGTAGGGCCTCCTTCATAGCTAGGAATTTCGAAGCGGGAAGTGGTTTGGTGAATATGTCAGCGAGCATGGCAGTTGATGGGACGTGCAGGACTTGGATGTTTCCCGCTTTCAAGTGAGTTCGTAAGTAGTGATGTCTGAGGTCAATGAATTTTTGTCGTTTTGTTGGTCCGGTATTTTTTGCCACTGTTATGGCTGCTTGGTTATCTACGTACACAGATGTAGGTTCTTTGCTTAATAGCTGGACCTCACTCAGTAGTCTTCGGAGCCACTGCGTGAGTTGTAAGTTGCTTGTAGCGGCTATGTATTGGGCTTCACATGTAGAAAGGGCTTGCATTGATTGCTTTGTCGAGTTCCAAGCAATAGGTGATTTGTTGTATAAGTGCACGCCTCCTGATGTTGACTTTCCGTCACCAGCGTCGTTTGCGACGTCTGCATCTGAAAATGATTCCAGTGAAGATGGCGATTGTTCCTGTCTGCTGGGTTCTTGTATGAATGTGCATAGTTGAGGATGCTCTTTTGCTGTTTTTTATATTATTCCTTCGTTTTTTGTTCGCTTGAGGTAGCGAACCAGTCTTTTCATTTGCAGCCAGTGACGGCGTGTCGGGGTGTGTGTGGCTGCCGCCAATTTGTTGACTGGAAATGTTATGTTCGGTCTCGTGTAATCTGCTATATATCTGAGCTCTCCCATTATGCTTTGATATTGTTCCTTGAGTTTGGGTGTAGGTTTGTCGTCTGCAGTTGGTCTATGCCATTTTTGACCGTTTGCGTACGGAGTTTTGGTACTATTGGCTTCTGTCATTATCATGTGTGCTAGGATGCTGTCAACGTAGTTGGGCTGGCTTATTTTCACTGCTCCGTCAGCGAAGTGTTCGACTTTCCAGCCGAGGTACAATTTGGGTGTGCCTAGCCTTTTGATTTTGTACTTGCGGCTGAGGTTGTTGTACAGTTCCGTTATTAGCTGCTTGTTTGTTTCCACTACCAGAAAGTCATCGGTGCTTAGGGCCATGAGGATGAACGTGGTGGGGTTGACAATTTTGTGGAAGAGGCATGGATCATTTTGGCACTGCTTGTAGCCTGTGTTTTGAGGTGCCTCTGGGCCCCCGTCAGGTAGTAGTAGCCTCCTGATGGGCCTCCATATAAGTTTCCTATAAGTTTTCCTGCTTTGCTGGCGTGCTTGAGGGATCCGTTGAACCGTGGGTATTGTTTGATATACACAGGCTTTTCGTGCTTAAATTTTTCGTGTAAGTGTGCCGATTTATGTCGAAGTGGTCGGCTTCTAACCCTCCTGCTGCTTTGATTTCCAGTAGTAGACGCACTGTGGTTTTGTCTGCCATGTATGAGGCTTTGTGTTCTGGGTTAAAGTGGATGTGTGGTTTCATTTTATCACCCCGCACTGAACATCGTGCCTTCCATTCTATGATTCTTCCGTTGGGCTCTCTTTTGTACCTGTACATCATGGTTAGGGGTATGGGCTTGACTGTTGAGGGAAGCTTTTCGTGTTTCAGCCACTGTATTGCTTTGGCATGGTCCAGTTTATTTAGTTCTGCATTATGTGCGCGTTCCCAATCTTCGGCGTCGGGATAGCGCCTGGCTTGTTTGAGGGATCGGGGTGGTGGTGTTGTGGCAGCTATTTGTTTTGGATCTGGGTGTGGTAGGTGTCATTTGAACGCATTGGCATGTATGTGGACTCGGTCGTTTTGGTGTGAATAGGGGTAGAAGTTCCCCGCCCGTATCCAGTTAAATGCGCCATTGGTAATATTTCTCACCACAATGTGGGTGATGTCTGTTGCATACATGTAGCGTGCCGGGTATGCGCGGCTTGCCAGCTTTTTCTTGGGCGCTAGTTGGGCGACGTGTCCAAGTTGGCCAAATTTATATATGTGGTGAATGGATGGGGGAGCGCCGAACCACGTCGTGTATGGTAGTTTTCCAGTCGTTCTGTGGCGTGTGAGATTGTACTTGAATGTCACGTCGCGTACGGCGTCCTCCCATAATATGTCTGGTAGTTTGCTGTGGAACAGTGCGGCTCGCGCCGCTGTCATTAGTGTTGCGTTTAGTCTTTCCGCAATGCTGTTCTCTTGCGGTGTGTATGGTGTTGTTGGACGGAATTGAATACCTTTGGCAGCGTAGAAATTTTGCATCTCGTCTGCTACATATTCTCGTGCATTGTCCATTGTGAACAGTTGCGGTGCGCGGCCGTGTTGGTTTGTTATCATGTTGACAATCTCTTTGATGTATTGGAGGATACTTTTTCGCGAGTCGGTGAATTGCAGGATGGCATACTTCGAGTGAGTGTCTATGAATGTTATAAAGTATGTCTTGCCATGGATTGATTTGCGGGAGATTGGTCCGCAGATATCGAATGACATCGCCACACCAATTGCATAGTGGTGTGATCTCGACGGGTGCGGTTGCGGCCTTGTCTTGCCGTGCGCGCATCCGCTGCATGTTAGTTTTGGAGGAGTTTTCTTCAGTATGCTTGGGAGAGGAATCTGTTCTTCCTTTGCCATTTTTTGTAGCGTGCGAAGGTTTACATGGTTGAAGATTAGATGCCAATAGTAGAATCCTAGCGTTTTCTTATTTGTCTCGTGTGGGGGGTCTGGTTGCATGTCCGGTAGGCGTCGTGTCTTTGGCTCCTTGCTTGATTCGCTTTTTTGGTTTGTAGTGGTTACGGGTCGTGGGTCTTGTCGCAGTGCCTTAGATACTGTGGGCGTGGGGCCGGCGCTTTGGTTGGGCGTGCTTGCCTGCTTGGCATGGTTCGTACTGCTCGTGTGTGACTTCCGGCCTTTGTCAGTAGACGGTATTGTCCCCTGTGTAATAATATGGATCCTTCCGGTTCGGTTTTTACCCCGTCACGGAGGGGGTGTCCACGGCAGCGGTAAAATTACAACACCACCAACCTCTCTTTGAGGTCGGCGGCTATGACTCCGGTAATCGGGCGAGTGGAATTGCGACCCCGGAGGGGATGGGGCTCAGTGGGCATACGCTTCCACCAGGCGGTGGAACGACCAAACTGGGGAGCGTGTGCTTCCGGCCCTCAAGAATAACCCGCACGGGACGATCTGCCTCTTTCTCCTAAGTTCTCGCCCAGGGGGTCGCTACCCCCTTTACTCTGGGGCGGTACTGCCTCGCCCCTAAGTACGTCGACCTCCGGCGGCCGGGCAGTACAGTAGTGATCCACTTATACTTTGGATCACTACAGTGGAGTACCTCTACTGTACTCCACCGGGGAGTAACCTGTACAGCGGCACACCTGGCTGTACTCCTGCCACCTGTACTCGCAGGCAGAGTGCGCGCCACGTGTGCTAGCTGGGACTCCCCCGGCTGACACTCCTATTACACTAATTTCTACGCCCCTACAGTAGGACCTTCTAGTTTACTGTACCCGATCGGGACGTTATACGTACGGCGATACACATAGCCATTCCGCCGCCACCTGTCACCCGTGGCGGTACGTGCACCCCGTGTACAAGCTGAATTATCCCCTGCCTTTCCAGTGTCGTCTGATCACCTCTACGGGATCTCCCTCCGGGTCGTTACGTTTACCGACACCGGTCAGTACCCTTTCTCCCACACCCTGTAGAATGTTGCTGAGCCTATGATTGTTGGGGGACGGCTATGGGTGTCGATGATTGAGGCTTTGGATGGCGAGAAAACTACATGCCCCCATTCTTTTGCGATGTCGTTGACAAACAGAAGATTGGGGCGTATGTGGGGGTGCACGATTGCCGGTAGGCGAAGGGGGTACCAATTAGCTGTCATTTTCTTTGTGGTACCGTGATACGTTGCCCCGAACGATGAGGATACGGCTGTTTTTGTTTTGAGTGGTGCGGGCAGCATTTTCATGTTAGATAGATCATGGTTCACGTGTGATGGATGAGCTCCAGAATCGAGAATGTACTTACGGTCGTTGTGTTCCGGTTCTGACGATGAGTCTTCGCCGGCCAGGCTAGCTACACCTAGTGCATGGAGCGCGGCTAGGTCCAACATCGGGGGGTCGTTGGTTCCTAGTTGCTCGGTGGTCGCATGGTGGGCTTGCGTTTGACGTTTGTTACCTTGACGTCGGCTGTATGTCTGGTTACGATTGGTATCCTGCTTGTTGTTCATGGTTACCATTAGCTGTCCCAGTTGGGCTAGTTGTTGCATCTGGTTTCCAAGGTGGTTTCGATCGTGCTGCCCCCAGCGCCCTCGGCCTCGACCGCGATATTTTTTGGGATATCCTCTTCC